ATTGAAGCCTAATTAGTTTGTATTTAATGGAAGAAGGAGTCATTAATCATAATTTGATCCTTAAAAAGTTAAGTTGGATTTGATTTACCTTTGGATTGGATACAATGATACCCAATAGATATCCCATCAAGTCAAGAGCCGATTGCAACGAGTTTTGTACACCTCCAACCACACAACGGTCAGATTCCGAAACGAGGTCCTAAATAAGACCAAATATTATACAAAAGGTTATTATAACTCTTTTAAAAACAAACATACTATAACGAAATAAATGATAACATACCTGCATTTGTTGAGTGACAGCAAGATCAAACATCCACAAGCCAAGCCTAGAAGCAGCAACTCCAGCCATTAGCATGTAAGATGCTATTTTATCCTTTTTCACCCATATCGATCCCACGCATACCAAAAGACAGCTCCACTGCAAGAACAAGAACCCTACTCTTGTGACCCTTTTGTTTTTCATGTGTCATATACAATTTTGATTCTTCTAGATAGGATTGATTACTCAACTTCCATATAGATACACTTAAAGAATACTAACTAATGAAGAATGAAAAAAAAAGACTTGATATAACCAATCATTGAATCGAAAACGCGATCCATAGGTATATAACTCTTTGAAATGGATTATTAGTTTAAGAGACCTGAGACCAGAAGGACCAGATGCCGGTTCTTAGCGTTGAGAGACGGGATTGCATTAGAGGATACACAATTGTCGCTGCTAGTCCAACCGTGGCACTTATTCCCCTGCCTATACCGATTATATATGTAGGTATCCCTTCCCATTGCAATGTAGCGGTCATCAATGTTCCAAAGCTGTGTCAAAGTGGTAAATACATCCGATAAATCATTGCAACTATCTACTTGACACTCACTTGAGAACCATTTATGTGAACAAAATCCAAAACAACTAAAGAGAAAGGGGAAAAACCTGAGGACAGTGAAGAACAAGAGAGCAAGAGAAACCCCGGGGAGTACAACTTCTTGACTGAAATAAATTCTCCACGCGCCAACAAACGAGGACTCGGATATTCGATCCAGAATCTTCAGCACTCCGGTTCTACACGGTGTGTGTCCATGAGAACCCTCCTCTCTTCCTGGAACAATAGAAACAGAAACAGGTGCATCTGTTCCTTCTATTGGCCTTGTCCAGGAACGCAAGATCCGTCTCTCATTGCTTCGTGCTATCGCAGGAACACCGCTATATACAGATATGAAGAGCCAATATTCGATCCAAACGGTTATAGTAGCCCAAGCTGCAAAAGTAATCGCTGACGCCTTCAGAGAGACAAAACTGATGATAAGACCGGTGATAACTGGAGAAAGTAGCTTCGAGCTCAAATCAATGCCTCTAATGACAGAATTCATTCTTGTCAATACTTCTGGTGGATGACCTTCCGACATAACCACAACCCTTTAATCAATACAAAAAACAGAAAAACAAATTTGAATGAATTGGCATTAAGTGTTGCACAAATTTTTCACTTTTGTCAATGTGAATCTAAATGTTACCAGTCTCTTTCAATCAAAATGGTGCCACCAAGAGTTGAAAGTACCCCTATGGCACCAGCAATATTTGTCAACACAACCAAGATTGCGAAAACGGGTAAATTTTGGGACTTGAGATCGGAAACTAGCAACAGTTTGACAACTGCTCCACCAGCAACAATGTAGGAGAGGTTCTGAGAGATGAGCCAGAGTTTAAGAACCTTAACATAGTCCACTCCCTCGATCCATTGGCCTACAATGGGGCCGAAAATCGCGGTAGAACCAGATTCTATGGCACCGTAAATCGCTGCGAGAAGCAGAGAGTTTGGCCACAAGTAGATCATATACAAAGCAACAGAGAATTCCCAAGTTCTGTATCAGTAAATCAAGAAAGTCATTTTGTAAGCTAAGTTAAAAACAAAAATAAAATGAAATATTTCATCATTGTCAAAATTATCTAACCTTCTACGAAAAAGATTACTGTGAAATTATCCAAGATTTCAAATGGATTACTAGAAACTCAGAATAGATAAATAAAATATTTATTGGAGATGAAGATTTTGTATAAACCTGGTACTCCATCTTGCAAGAAAATATCCAACGTATAGAGATATCACAAAACGACATCGTAATACTGGTGGTTGGTTTTGTGGC